GCTCAGCCTTCCAGCGATCGAGCACACGCTTACCACTGAAGTGAGACACTTCGTACTTGGCCGCTTGGTCCACGCTTCGCTCAACGTTGTTGAATTCTGCAGCTTCACATAGGCTTACGTTGCGCGTTTGGGACCTTTACAGTAGTATCTGACTTGGTCAACTTCGCTCATGTTCTCGACAGGGAAGATTAATGATGAGTACTTTCCGCTGTAACCTTTGGTGTCGCTGGTCTGACGAAGTTGTCAGAGTTTCTGGTGGAGCACGGCTTGGTTGTTGGGGGCATCAAAATGTGTGAGAGCATCGCGGGTAAACTAACCCCACATTTGCTTCTCTGCCAGCTTTCTTGAAGCCCAGAACAGGAACCGCCCAGACGCGATTTCTTCCATTGCGGTACCAGCAATTGCGGACAACGTGTCGTTATCATGTGCTGGGCCGTGGCCATTTGACACAGCGCTACTGGCGCACGTCTTCATCTGGCTTTCCCTTGAACGTCAGTAGACTGTTCGGAACGCGAGACTTGTGTTCCGCTGGCGATGATCGCGCAGTACGGTCTCCAACCTCTGTCCCACGGTGGCTATTACACGCCGTATTGCCTTCAAACGTAGCACCAAGTTGTGAACGTCCCGCAAGGTACCAAACATGTCCAATCATGAGTAAAAGTTGCCACATTTTCAATACTCCAAACAAAACGCTTGCCTTGCTGTTTCTTGGGAATACTTTAGAATTTTATTGGTTTTTCCGCCAGCCTTGACAAACTCATCAGTAATGTCGAGTGCGCCATGACTTATAACACTACTATCAATAAATAGTGGTCGTAGATGTCTTTCCCTAGTCAATGATTGTGTTCCGGTGATGGCAGTGACTCTGGTTCTAATATTGTGTTTCAGGACAACGTGTCACCATCGCGCAAAACACAACTCCACATCCTGTGCTACGTCCTGTATCCCCGGATCTTCGGCCTGAAATAACGCCGTCTCAAAGAGTGGGTATCAGTGCGAATGGTGCTCACGGATAAACAGCGTGTGATACACTAAAGGTTCGAGGAAAAACTCTTCAGCAAAAGACAACGGCTCAGGCAATT